GATTACAACATGACTTATACCGGTATACCCACAACAATCTTAAAAAATACAACTTTTAAAGGTTTTGTTGCATGTTTTGACTAAGGAAAATTCATACTTAAAGAAGAATCTTGAGTCCCCATTTGATGGTTTTATGTACATTTAAGCCAAAGAATTTCCAGAAGCGCCACTAATCTCGCCTTTTTGAGCAACGGGGACGTAAACTGCACCCACTAGAGTGCTGTTTCTTCTCCCGTAGAACAGGTAAATAAGCACTCCGATGAACATCCAGACCGATACACGACCCCAAGTTCCAGCTCTGTAAGCATCAGCAAATACAAAAACATGTTATATTAGCAGTATACACAAAACTGGTGTCATGATCCTTACTCACTCACCCCAAGTTTATCAAGAGATACATGTTTATAAGAATGCAGAGAACAGGCAGAAGCGGAACACACGGGCAAACGAAGCCTGAAAAAAAGAGAGTGATACTTGTATGTCACAATACAAGAACTTCATATTTTGTTTCCAAAATGAAGTGCTTCCAACATAAGATCATGGAAAACAGTACCTCCTGATTGCCCGAAACTGTGTCTAGCATCATCCTGATCTATGCAACTTAGCACAATCAAACCAACAAGAAGGAGCAATCCACCAACACCACATATTGAATACTGGACAAACCTGTTCAAAGTTTTGATAGTATGGGACTAAGTATTCTAGAAGAAAAAAACCTGGTAAGAGACAGACTATTGATGAACAAACCCTGGTAAGGGCAAGCTTGAAGAAGCTGCATAGCTTATAATGAAGTTCCCAACACAAGTGGATATAATGCTCCAACTAGCGAGTTTCCTTCTCTTTTTGTTTTTGAAAACCCCTACAGAATTAATAACAACAAATGTGAAAACATTTTTATACCAAGATTGGAGATGAACGTATGGGAACAAATTCTAATTTAAGCTTGTCTACGAGAATTGAAATAGTAAACTTACAAGTCAATTCGAAAAAAAAAAAAGAAGTAAACTTACAACCCCCTTGAGCTTCTTTTTTCTCCACAACTGAAGCATCAGTTTTGCTAATTAAAGGTTGTTTGATACTACTGGAAGTGCCAACGTGACCGGACGAGAGAATAGGTACCTAATAAAAGCCTTTGTTAGTCCAGTTCATAGTGGAATGTAGCTGTGTTGATTAGCTCGGAAACTACAGCAGAGTCGGTGAACTAAGAAGATAACAAGTAAAAACCAGATTCTAGATTGGTTTAGGATCTTGTAAGTACCTCATCTGGAGGAACATATCTGAGTATCAACAGTGACACTGCAACCATTGTAAACGCAAGAAGCGTCCCGACACTCACCTACACCAATCTAGAGCTTGTCAAATACCAGTTACATGCTAAATGTGGTGATTTAAGTGAATCATAACTGCGTCTTAAATTACCATTCCCGCCAGTTGTGAAACATCCATAAAGAAAGCTAAGAGTGCCGCACAAAGACCAGTTGCTATGGTCCCTTTAACAGGGACCTTTGTACGTTCACTCACGTCTGAGAAAACTGAAGGCAACAAACCATCCCTCGCCATTGTCATCAGAATCCGTGGCTGAAAGATGTATAAGCTCTTTTGTGAATCAGGTTGATCTTTAGCTAACTCAAGCACCATCTATACGGTTTCACGAACATTGAGGACTTGAATTGTGTTTAAAGTTTACCTGAGGAAGAAGAGAGCCCAATAAAACAGAACAGAGAGCCATGACAGCACCTAGAGTTATTAAATACCTATAAGAGAAGAAGAAAAAAGCACATCAAACTCTGAACAAGTCCTGTCAATGAACAGTGTTGCATCTTAACCGATTCATGGACTTACGCAGCCCATTGGATTCCATGACCAGCAAATGCAGAGGATATTGGAGTGTCAGGATCCATAGCATAATAAGGCACTAAACCAACAATTACAATAGACACCATCATGTATAGCAAGCAACAAAGCAGGAGCGAAAGACCAATACCGAGCGGTAAGTCCCGCTGCGGATTTTTCACCTGCATATGACAACAGCAATGTGCAGTAGTAAGTAAATATGCTTAGAAGAAGCCTTTAAAAGATGATAATGCAAACAATATATATGATGCTGACCTCTTCTGCCATACTTGCAACTGAATCAAACCCGATGTAGGCGAAGAAGACAGTAGCAGATCCAGAAAGCATTCCATTAACTCCGTAGGGAAAATAACTAAGAAACCAAAAAAAACAATCTGTTTCATATAGCAACAAACCTTAAAAATATGAATGAATGCTCGATTTACCCTGATGGAAGTTGATAACCAGGCCAACCTGTCTTGAAACACAGATAAGTACCGACTACTATCACAAATAGCATAACAAAGACGTTTGCTGTTGTTACAATCCCCTGAGCTAATGTGCTCTGCATTAAAAAGGAAAAAAAGATATTTCACTTTAAGAACACTTGCTCTGCAGAGTTTAGTGTGACCAAAAACAATTTTTTAAGTTAATACCTCCTTTACTCCAATGCACAAGAGAGCTGTTACAATGAAGACTAGAACAGCAGCACATGGGTCAACAACAACATCAAGTCCCGGGATTTGATGACGAGATAATATTGCAGGCAGACTATCTTCACCGCCGAAAAGCAATGACTATCATGTTATATCACACGAAACATGATAATGAGTTAAGACAAAGACCTCAAAAACTTGTCAAAAGGAAAATGTTCTCTAAGTGCCACTTCAGATTTAACAAGAATTTTTTTGAGATGTAAGTCATTCACTTAGATTCTTATCTCAAACAACACAGTATCTCAAAGATTATTATCTTATAGAGCTTTATGGTTCTTATATGGGAGCCTAACGCCATTGGTCTTGTCTAAAGGAACAGAGGAAATTAACTAACTCTTATGAAATGCAATGCAAGCAACAGAAGATATGAGTCAAAGAGCAAAATACCAGATTTGGAGCTATGCCACGAGCAACCGTTGAACCACCAATTGTGTATTCAAGAATCAGTGCCCAGCCAATCAACCAGGCAACACTGAAACCCACAGAATCCATAAGCAAAGGCAATGAGTATAACATCAAAAGCTCTAAACCTGAGTTAGAGGAAATTGCAGATAAACTAGTGGCATAAGCAAAGTAAAATGTCACCCTTCACCAATGAAAATGTAAGAATAGTGATAGACACTCCCAGCTGAAGGAAAACGACTAGAGAGTTCTGCATAGCAAAACGCCGAAAGTGCAGCCGAAATTCCAGCTATAAGGAAGGATAACGCAAGAGCAGGTCCTGAATACTCTCTCGCTACTGTTCCCACAAGTATATAAACCCCTGCTCCTATTGTTGATCCAACACCTGAAATTGCACAGCCAAAACTCTAGAGGTTTAATGAAGAACATAGCCAAACACACAAAAACAAACCCATAATTCAGATACACATTGTTCATAAGTAATCATATTGTAATTCAGGACTAGATTATGAGTGATAACAAAAACTTTATTCAGAATAAAGTTTCAAACTTTTAAAACCTTCTATAATTCTAGATGTTACAGACACAATATCAGATTTAGAATTCATATTGTGAATCAAGACTAGATTTTTTTACATTTTTTGGTCAAACTCAGGACTAGATTATGACTGATAAACACCTAACGAAATCTTCATACAGAAAAAAAAAGCGAAAAGCTTTAAACTTTTCGAATCATCTATACATCCAGATACTACAGCCACAATACCAGATTAACTGGGAGATGATAAGGAATCCATTGACAGCAAGAAAAATTGACTAAGTAAGAAACCCAGATTCCTTAACTATCGTAGAGAGATTACAATCATTGAAAACAGAGAAAAAGAGAGTACCGATTGCAATCAAATAAGGAAAGGTCAAGGCTTTGGCGAGTTGTTGTTGAGGATGACGAGTCTCGGCTTCGCCATTTGAAGAGTCAACTTGTTTCCTTCGCACCAGATTTTTAAACAACTCCATGAATGAGTTCACTACTTCCTCCCTTTGGCGTATTTAAAAACGACGCTAAGGAAATATTCTTTGATGACATGCTAATACTATACTATGCTAGTATCCTATAATCCAAGTGGCTAACTATATCAATAATTAATATAGACGATTTTCAACCATAAACTCTGAGATTTTATTGGTTTGGCATTTAACAAACGAGACCTACCTAGCTTGTGTCTCCTGCTGGCCTTCGTCACCTGGTAAGACTTCTATAAATTTAGCTTTTCTTGATGTAGATAGTTTCAGCTTTCCTTCCACAAAATTTGCTTAACTGTGTCTAGATGATACATGTTTTAGGACAGTTATTGGTAGATTTAATTTTGAAAGATTTTTAAATATATAGATTCTTTTGTTATTTGTTGATGGATTTTGATTTCTTAAATATGTTGTTAGAGTATCTCCAATTATTAATTGTATTTTTCATATATACCAAAATGTAATTGGGAGTTTTTCTCCAATAGTTAATTGCATTTTTAATTCAAAAAGAGCATCGTTTAAGTTATATATATATATATTAAGTTTTATTATTAATTGCTAAGTATACATATTTTCTTCAAAAATTACAAGCTGGTCAATTTATATATTTTTCAAAAAATCCACAAATTATGATATTCTTTAAATTAAATTAGGAAATATTATTTGATGAGTATGGCCTATGGAGGGATGCAAAAGAAAGTGAAGTTCAACAACGATGCCTTGACATCCGTATCTAATCCATTTCCTATTTAAAAGGTCTACCAAATGAGTTGGTCACTTGGTCTACTGTTTTAGTTTTTGCACTCTTTTTCTAAACATTATATTTAAAAAAGAAAAATTAAAACATTAAACGGCCGTAAGATTTTCAGAAGTACCAAAGACAATGGAAGAAAAATATTCATGAACATATATGATTCATATAATCGAAATTGCTAAAATTATGTAAAGAAAACCCACACCTAGCATGGGATAATCCCTAGTAACACGAAGGAATAAAGAAAACGAAATAGAAACCCGAAAACGACAAAATCAATAATCAACAAGATTCATTAACATAACGAAAACCATTAGTTTGTGTTGGAATGTGCAGTCACATAGCGACCTGTAACATAGCTCAAGCGGCTCCAAGAACTTTGGAAAACAATCAAAAAGTCAGACAAGAATCAAGAAACAATGCTTGTTGATTTGCAAAGAGCAAGAACACAAACCTGATCCACACTTGTGAAAACTGCATCTTCAGGAATGTCTGAGACTCCGCTTGAGAGTAACTGACGTGCACGCTCACGTGTGTTGTACAGCTTGTCCCTCACATCACCAAGAATAGCTCTGTACGGCTCGTTCGCAGGGATTTGTTTCCAAAATTCTACAACCAAATCATACATCAAAACCATAATATAACAACAAAAAAAGCTAAGACACATTCTAAAACTACCAAGAAGGTAAACACAACACACCTATGTAGTGTTTGGCATCTCTTTTGGCACACCTTTGACGCTCTGCACGAACACGGAGCTCCTCATTGCAACGCCACATTGACATCTGCAAAACAAGCAAACACACAAATCCAAAAGTTAAAAACAATGTCATTAATTAACAACCAAGAAATTAAAAAGCTGCAATGAGATTTACCTCAAACATAAGATCTTCTATCTGGGAGAAGTAGAGATTAGCAGCCATCATTCTTGCTAACAAGCATACATCTCTAGTCACTTCAGGAGTCACTCGCGGGTTTCCTGGATTTACAAATGTTTAAAATCGTTTCAAGAGAAGGAGAGAAAGAAGAGTGTTAAGTGTGTAGTACCATCACGGTCTCCTCCCATCCAAGAAGAGAACTGAATGAGAGGCGCATTGTAAGGAACACGCTCGTTGATTCCAATGTTCTTCAGAGCAGTGTCAACACGTCTCAAGAACTTTGGAACTCCTTTCCAGATCGTCTCATGGAAGTAACTCATCCCCGCTCTCATCTCATCTTGCGGCGTTGGAGGCGTTCTTCGGATTTCATCAGTGCGAAACGCAGCTTGAATCTGGTTTCCAACAAAAAAAACAGAGTTTTTAGTATAAATTCTTGCATTGAAAACAGAGTTCTTGTTGGTGTGTGTACCTCTCTTTGCAGAGCTTCATCGAGTTCTTGTTTATCATCAGGAGTAATGTCCTTCGCGTACAGCTGCGTCAAACAATCACGAATCCTTCCAAACTTTTGGAGCAAAGAGCGACGAACAGATTGAGTAGGATGAGCAGTTAAAACCAAGTCAACAGTCTGGTTCTTGAGAGCATCAAAGACTTCTTCAGGAGTCTTGTTAAGCTGCAGAAGCCTTTTGAGAGTCTCTTCAATGTCGGATTCAGTCGTCGCAGAGGCCTCGTCGGCGAAATCTCCCTTCTTAAGCTTCTTGATCCTGCGACGGTAAGCAATCTGGACTTCCTCTGCCAGATTAGCCAAGCTAAGCATGTTGGAGAATGATTTCGTGACTACGATTGAGTCTCCTGGATCTAAACTCGTCAGCATGTTTCCGAGCTCCTCTAGCTTCGCCGTGTTGCGGTTTCCGTCGTAATCGGCAGCAACCTCGTAGCATTCTTGAACCTTTTGACAAAACGAAAAACAGAACGAAAGTGAAAAACTCAATAAAGTTTTGATTTTTTTGCATGACTCAATTAGTGTTTTGACTTCTTATCTGCTCAATTTCACAAAAAGGTTTGAGATTTTGGGAAAGTTTGAGCAGAAACTGCAAACCCAAATCATGATTTAGTGATGGGAAGCCTAAATGTATCTCAAAGTCACAACAGAAACAGAACGAAAGTTAAACTCAATCAAGTTTTGATTTTTTTGCATGAGAAAGCTCAGTCAATTAGTGTTCTGACTTCTGATCTGCTCAATTTCACAAAAAGGTTTGAACTTTTTGAATACTTTGAGCAGAAACAACAAACCCAAATCATGAATTCCTGATGGGAAGCCCTAAATGTGTCTCAAAGTTTGGAATTTTAACACAAAGTTTGGATTTTTAACAGAACAGAGTGAGAGAGTGATATCAGAGGAAGAGGGAAACATACGAATTCTCTGACTTCCTCGCCATGCAAGTCCTGAAGGATGTCTAGGAATCGATCCAGTAACAGAGCATCGTACTCGACGAGCTTGTCGTCTTCAGAGACTTTCCCAGGAGCGATAAGCCTGAGCTGAGCATCAATGGAACCCATCTTCTTCAAGTTTCCAGTAGCCATGGTTGAAGCTTCTCTCTCGCTCGCTGTGTCTCCTTATCCCCTTTTTATAAAATCCCAGACCCAAATCTAATTAAAACCCTTTTAATCACTAGATTGACACAATCGGCGAAAATCAAGGAGAGATAATAATAATCCGATAAAGCTGGAAGTGAAACACGTCAAACAAAAAGATTCACACTTTTAAGAGTTTGGATTAATTACGGAAAATGGAGAGATTACGGAAAAAAAGGGGAAAAAGAGTGGCGTAGTGAAGTGGAAGTATCTCGTGAACCCAAAAACAAGTGAAAAAGAAGATCGAGAAGTTTCGTTCACGAGGAAGACGATGGACAGAGAAGAGACAGGTGATAAAGTATGACAGTTTTTTTTTTTGGTGAGTTTAAAGCCTCAGAAAAAAGATCTCATAAGTGAAAGCTAATCCATTCGATGTGAGCTTATTTATAGCCGAAAACACTCTCTTCAGTAGTGTGAAATTAGGAACTGGACCAAACTGCATGTGTACGGTCTTTTGGTGACTTTAAAGTGGACCGATGAGTCACCGATTTCGACTTTTCCTTTTTCTTGTTTTGGCTTCTTTTAATATTTCACGAAACCAGGACATCATTAGCTTGTTTTTTTCTTTTAATCCTATGCTTTTGTACGAAAGCATCAAAGAAATATATGAAAGGTTTACAGGTAATTACGGACATAAGTGGAATATGCCAACGGATATGCTGATTTGCTTCTTATCTCCTAAAATTTGTGAGGCAGAGCAATATAGTTTCTCTACTCATTTTTATAATGACTTGTTAGATCAAATCATTCGAGATAAAAGAAATATGAAGCAGTATAAAACTCTCCAAGAAAACATTTCAGTTTTGACCTATCAGAGAAAGTAGGAGATTTTGTCTAAATAGGGATTCTAAGTAAAAATTATATAAACTACCTCTGGTAATTTATTTGGTGAAAAGAAGAAAAATCCCAAGATTTGTGGAAGGAGCCAGAAAAAGAATTCAGCTTTTCTGACCTTTGACATAAAACGTACCACGTCTATTACGTACTGGTCATATATTTTTTAATCAATAATTATATATTTTGTTCTTTATTTGATTCTCGAATCTAAGAACAAATGGCCAACCAAAGATTCCAACGGAAGGAAATAGAATCATATATATAAAGACCTTATCGTATCAATTTATTTTATCAACGACCTTATCGTATCAAACTATATATTGCATGACAAATGGGATAATATTTGTATATATTAGATGTACTTTATCCACTATACCCATCATTTTATTCAGTATGTATACCCATCATCATAGTTTTCTCGAGCTTTTTTTCTATTTCAGTTCCAAGACATAGTATTTTTTTTCTATTGCATATTTATTGACGAACTCTAAGGTTTTTCTTTCGTTTTTATTAGGTGCACAATATGTATAATCAAGTAAACAAGCATCAAACGATATTATTAAAGGTTATGTGAGCTTTAGAAAATGTGAAAGGGCAAAGCAAGTTTTGTATATAACCTTTTAATTTCTTCAAGAGGCGGAGAAAAGAAACAAAAATACCAATATTAATAGTTTTTCATTTATATGAGTGGTTATATATCGAATAAAATTGCTCTCATTTAGTTCTGTATATACTCTATCCACTAAAATTTTACATATATTTTGTCTTCTCTCTCACGTTGAGTATATAAGTGATATTTTTAAATTGAGAGAAGAAAACAAACAACAGTATATGAGGGTTATTTTTGCATGATTCAGTCATATCTTCTAGATGGACTCGAATCACATGTTCTATGTTCTACAACTACATCATCGTCACTCGTCTAGTATAGCATTATAATTTTTATCACTATTAATCAGCGCCATTGTAAATTTATATATACAGCTTAATTATTATGAAATTGCTGTACTTTCAATAAAAGCATAACTTTTTTTGTTTCAATAAAGCATAATTTATATCTGAAAACGAAATTTCAGATAGTAGTGGGAATATATGCTAACTGTTCTACGGATATTCTTCTGATATTTATGTAACCGAACAAAATCCTATGTGCATACTAAAAATGCCGTGTATATATATGTGACAAAAGCTACATTCCCCATATTGTTATTTGGTTTAGTTGTATGTGCTATATATATAGGTTGTTGATTAAATATATTCACATATCACATATGCATAATGACAGAAAAAACAAGAGTAACTAAAGTGATATTTTTCAGAGATTACGATCGTACCGACCAAATAAAACGTCCTATGACAAACCCAAAAGGTCAAAACAAACGTGATCCGTGTTCCAAAACTCAATTTTGAGTGGTCCAAGTTAACGAGAGAGAGATATCTAGAGGTCTATTTGCACGAAGCTTCCTAAAGATCTTAATTAATTATCAGGGTTAATATACCTCAATAAATATACACATACGCACGAACATTATTCACGAAAGCAAATAACTAAAAATCAATAATATATAAGCAATCTAACATCTGAATGGAAAGATTATGTATATCGATCAAGACGAACATCCATGTGGATGTGCGTATGCATATACACCGCTAATATGTACGCGGCTTGCTGATTGACACGACAAAAGATAAAGAAACACGACTCTAGTGGTTTAGGAATTAAAATGACGAGAAAATATGGCAAAGAAATAAAACCAAACAAAAATAATCCGGCGTGTGCAGTGGCGGACCTAGAAACATATCTTAGTTGGGTCAAAATTAAACTTAGGTGTCATTGGCGAGATTCGAACTTGCGTTTGGGGTGTCAACAAGAAGGATGTTACCAGTTGAACTGTTGCATTTATGTGTTTTCTTCTTACAAATAAAATTATTACCTTATTTTAGGTGTATCAAGTGAACCAGTATCATTACAAGTAGGTCCGCCTTTGGACGTGTGAAGTTGAAGCAAATGGGAATTTTGTTGTTAAAGAAAATTATAAACGTCTAAAAAATGATGAAAACGAAACAATGCCGTTTCTTTTCTCGTCAATATCAAAAAAAACTTCTGAAAGGTCAGGCCCAGTTAATTCTGAGTGAAATAAGCCCACACTCATGTCAATCAGCCCACTTAGATTCAGCCCAATATCAGGTCGCATTGGAACGAATAAGACGGGTGTGGATCGCACGCAATGTGTTGAACCGTATAGGGCTCATATAAGGAAAAGTGACATGACCTGAACTTTTTTAGTATGGTGTCAATTGGCTGATACAAATTAAACTGTTTGTTTTCATTTCGCGACATTGACTCGATGTACGTATGTGTAATCAACATTTACATCCACGATTAATCTTTTAATTATTGTCTTCCACTTCTTTTTATAAAAACTTTCTCACGCACCCATACAATCTCTAAACAAACACTCCAATCATCGGAGCACAAATTAAACACCTGATATCATGTGAAATGTATACTATCAAACCGGTTCAAAACTAATCTAAAACCGAAGTAAATTCGGGTTAAAGTGATGAATAGACAAAAAGGGAAAGAAACAATAATGAAAAATGGGGGTGGGTGGGAAGACAAGGGGAATCACTATCAATAAAAAGAGAAGCAGAGAAAAGATTTGTGGGGGCAAAGGACTCTTGCATAAGTGTGCCTTTGGGAGTGTGACATTTTTGGCAACTCATGCGTGAAGATGTTTCTTGCCCATTGTTTCTTCCTTGAACATGATTTTAGATATGTATCATCTATTTTTAGGGTTCTTTTTTCTTCTTTTTCTTTTCGCGGGTATCAAAGTAACTTTGCCAAACCAAGTGGTGCTCCACATGTAGTAAGATAGGTTGTCCTATTGATCGAAGACAAAACTCGATACATTGACTAGAACATGGTTACTCGGATTATCATGTTCATTAGAACAGGAACTATTATAGACCTTATTTTAGCAGTTTAGAAGTAGTTTGCTATTAACATGAAAGAGTTAGTGATGACTTAACGACAAAATAAGATACTATATATAACTTACGCATTCGTTTAAAAAAAAAAAAAAATACTTAGACGTTTGACTAGTGCTTGTAATGTAGTATACTGGTTTTTATGAGTGTTGCTTCCATGATCTTGACTTAAAAAAAATGGAGATTCTCATTATTCCATAAAAAATATGCAAGCACAAATACTTCAATTAACGAATAAACAACGAAAATAAAATATTAGCTAAAATTTTGAGGTAGAAATTCGAATAGATTGATTAGTGTGGTTGAAACTTTCGTTCGTTCCAGATTTTAGTTTTCACTGTATTCAATACCATGCACTATATATGCAATTGGGCTATTTGATAATGAGTTCCCAGCAAACTAAACACCAACAAGAAATTTTATCATCTTCGTTCTGTATAAGAGAGTAGTCGATTGCTAAAAACAAACCGTACAAATGAAAATAGTGGCATTGTATAAAGATTCTTAATTCTAACAGGGTGTAAGAAAAAGACGAACTACGTTTAAAGCAACCTCTGAAAGAACCGTACACTGTCACTAGATGACAACAAAAGATTTCAATTTAAAAGTGATAAAACCCTAGAAAACGTCTGACAACGTCGATGCCACTTAATTTCTTATAGATTTTTGGAAAGAGATAGTAGAATCTTTCAACAGTTACCAATCTATGTATTTGTATAACAACTATACACGCACAGTATACCTTTACATCTACTTTTAATAATGTGGATTTAGATCCACAACATAAATGGAAATATCAGGTCTTGCATCGTTGACCCATTTCTAGTATGTTTCACTGCACATACAGTAACAGATATATGTACATACATTGTGACTAAAGTAAGAAAGTAAGATACAGTAGATGTTTATGTTGTTGTTTCTTTGGTAAATGTCTTGTTGATAAAAAAAAAGCTGAATAGTTATCTTTTTTGTATGTGTTAAGTTTTATTGGTTTCTAATTCAAAACTAATTAGTAACAAGTGGAATATTACATGTCTCTTAAGTTTTATTGATTTAAATTGTGAATTTATTTTTATGAAAATACTTTTTAAAAATACTGTTTAGTTATGATATAATAATAG